GTGCCGAGCACTGCGGCACATGACAGTGGGGCGATGGGCTAACGCGCTCACTGGGGGATTCCTACAGCACACGTCGGGTTTTGCCGCATTGGCTTTCCCGTTCTTTTGTGCTGACCTGCAGCTGAATGCAGGGGAGGCCACCATGGGAGTGTCCCAAGCTTGTGGATGCAACTCGTGAGTTGTTGACTTTCGAAGGGTTAAGGAACGTCGGCGGCCTTAGGTATAATGTCTTGTTGGCTGAGAGTCCTTTTGATTCGTTCCTCCGCAAGACTTCTCACGAGCTTCTGCCCAGCCCCAAAAGTGTGTCACACACACACACCCACCTGCCCGCCCGCACGCGTTGGTGCGGAGAATCTGTCGCCTCACCCATGAGGGTTTTTAAGAAGAGCCCGCGCAAGGTTGGGGGATCCCTCGGCACTGCAAGCTTTGCCCCATGTCAGACGGGCAGGTTTATGTGTGAAGGCTGAAGACAGGCCGACAAGCCTATATGGTTTACACTATATGGTTTACACCCAGGGTCCTTTGAGGTCAACCTGCCAGGCATTGGGCAGATGACACTGGGACGATGGACTAGAGTGCTCACTGATGATTGTTTAGAAGATTTCCGCGGCCTGCTAGTCCGTCTTGATTCTTTCTGCCACAAGACTTCTCAAGTGTCCCAGCCCAAGAGCGACGCACAGATACACAAACACATGCTTCAAAGGTCAGGGGGGATGGGATCGAGACCTGCAGGGAGTCGGTACGGGTAATGAAACTAACATCTATGGCGACCCTACCAGGCCCCACCCCGGTGAGAAGAAACACCATCGGCTGCATCGCCTTATATAACTAATTAGCAACATCTACGCATTGGCCTCGCTATGGGCCGGATTTCCTTGGTTGTTTGTTGCCCACTTTCCAACATGTGCCATGATCATCTATAGTATCACGGGCATCAGCAGCGCCACCATCGTATTGTTGTTCACTATCATCAACCTCGTCGTTTGTCACTGCCCGGCCGTTTTTGGCTTCTGAGTGCGCATCGGGCCAGCAGGTTGTGACAGTAGACTTCATGCCCACAATCCACTTCTCCATGCCCAAATCCACCATGTGATGGTCCGTCATCTTTGTCATCGGCAAATATCTTGTGGCTACGAGACCTTTCTGAAGTCTTTCTGGTCTCTATGTTTCCAGTGGCTCTCTCTGAATATATTTAGTTCAAGCGTACTTCGCCATGCTCTTATTGCTTCATATGTTAGGTGTGGATCTTATCTGCCACGCTCCGGCCATCTCGCCGGAGCGCATGCGGCCTGTGAAAGGGTTTGATTGGGTTTCGCTGGTTTCTGTCCATGGGAATCTTAAGCCTTAGCCCTAAACCTTTCCCGCCGGTTTGCGATGCTGGAGCTAAAAAAAACTCTCCCGCGAACCAAGAGACCTCATCTGGCAAGTCCGAGTTGTGAGAGCGTCAGCTGTGGAAAGGTGGCCCGCTCGACTTCACCTGCTTCTCCTCCCTCGAGGGAGCGAGTCCAGGATGGATGGGGGGGCTCCTGGAGCCTGCTTGGGACAACTGGCAGATGATAGATTGACAACATCAGGTTAGCAAGGCGGCTTTTAGACCCGTGTCGGCTTCGGGGAATGCTTCAGACACTATGTGGCATAGTTTGTGTTGCACTGTGTCCGTGCCGGCGTTAGTCAACTCATTCAACTCAAGATCTTAGGGTAAGGTTTGTTGATTCGTGGCTTGCGGGTGTAAGGCCGCCCAGTAGCCGGGCACTAAAGGTCTTCGAGCAGATGTCAAGCTAAGCGCATTTCGCGTTGGACACACTTTCAGTCCCTAGATTCCTGGATGTCGCTATTGCTTACGATGGTTTCGGGCCGCGCAGGCTTTATGCTGTGGCGCCGGAGCTTGCAACTCCAAGCGCCGAAGCCTACACATCCCTACACGAAGCCACTGGTGTCCACCTTTCGATACCAGTGCCAGAAAGCAGTACAGTATCCTTTCGAAACTTCATGGACGTCTTCTCTGCGTTTGTGCTCAAGTTGCAGCTTCTTTGCCATGTTGGAGGCCTCAACCTAGACCTGAAGTGCACATCCTGTTGCTGGGCCATGAGTTTTTTCATGTCTGCCTCGCAGGAAGTGCAAGAAGCACAGGGGGACAGCGTGGCACTCGGCATTGCTCTTGCGCTCACCAGCAGTGAACGATAGAACCTCCCTTCACGCCTTACACTTTTCATGACACTCGCTTTTTGAGCCGTACCGGCCTTCATACACAAGCAGAAGGGTCCACGCGACGCCACATTATGGAGGTGAGGCGAGTCTCGCTTATGGGTTCGGCGTTTTTTGGGCCGTTGGTCATTGAGCAACGGTTTCGGGACCCGAAGACTCGGAGACATGCACTCATCTGCTCCTACTTTCATACCAATGGAGTCAAAATCAGTTTCAGATGCTACTGTGATCCATTCTAGCCTTGTCTTGGCGGAGTTGATGTATGTGTAGACGGGGCGGCCTCAGGCACGCGCCTGCTTTTATTGACCGACGCAGATGAACTTAATGTGCCCCATGCAGCTGCGTTGTAATGAGTGTGCAACGCTGTACAGCTGGGCTTTATAACAATGGTAGAATGGCATTCATCGGGTCTGTGCCTCGTAATCATAATGGCATGCTGAGAGAGCAAGAGAGGGTGAGAGACAGAGAGACTTGTAGACCGAAGATGCCAGTCATCCTGTTGCGGAGTACTGGTGTGAATGCGGACCCTTATCACCAATCACATCCCATCACTAGTCCCACGCCCCCTTTGTCCAAGTTATATTCGCAATGCTGCCTGCCAGCAAGGACATGCAAGGACCGTAAAGGATTGTCTGCAGACCTTGCCTGGCTTTGTCCGAGTTTGAGTGCCCAAAAACAGCCATCCTCGCTGATCCAGGCTGCAGTCCGCCCTTGCCTGGGCAGCTGCCGTGTCACTCGCGGTTTGTTGCCGACCATTCCATGACGGGCATGACAGGCCTTGGTCTTTCGCTTGAGAGTTGGATGGGACATGGATGGGTGTTTCGCCAGCTGAAGCTGCTGCGGTAGGTTGCAGGCCATTGCAGGTTTTCCATGCTGGAGGTAGCCGTCGAGAGGAGAGAATCTGCCATTGTAAAGTGTACGAGCTGTTCCAGGCTGGCATGTGTCAAGCCTTGTGGAGTGCGTCTCCACTGTCCCGAATCGCTTTGCTGTCGCCGGTGGTCTCTCCAATTTGCTTCCTAAGTGCCGTGGAGGCCCTAATCCCAGCCCTCTTCACGAGAGCGCGCCGCACACCTTGGACAGCATGTGAGCTCGGCAGGGAATCAGTTTCTTGGGGAACTTGCCTTCGGGTTTTCAGTTGCTTGGTTGTTCAACAGTTTGAGAAGCCCTTACACGAGCTTGAAATTAGCCCCTTCAGGAGCTCTTACAGTAGAGGTTTCAGGGTTGAGGAATGCAGCTTGGAGCTTTGGCGTTTCTGGGGTGCTAGGGAGGGCACAGCTCAATCCAGTCATTGCGGTGAGCTGTCCATTTCAATCAAGCTTTCAGGAAGGCCCTAAACCCTAAACCAGAAAGGCGCATCCTTTACCCCCCTTGAGCGTTCTGGGCATCGCTCCAGGCTCCCAGCTTCAATTGAGGATGGTGACGCAGAGGAGGTTGTTCCCAGTACGAGTATATAGTTAATAGGCCATAATATAATAGGGGACTGAAAACTTATCCATACTGTTTTAGTTTCCTTATTACAAAGTGTGGTAGAGTACCTCCCCTTCCAAAAAATCATGTTCTAATCGTTAAGCCCCTTACCTTACCATCGGCACTAAGACTTCCTGCGACTCACTTCACCCTAAACCCTAGAACCCTAAACCCTAAAACCCTACGTGGGAGGGAAAAAGCCCTAAACCGAAGAGACCGTCAGGTACGCGGGCTTCGAGAGCTTAGAGCAGCTCCAGAAGATGCGCGGCCGGACCAACACCCTCGGCCAGGGACCCGGGGTTTAGGGTTTAGGGGGTTTAGGGTTTAGGGGTAGGGAACTAAACTTTTTTGGATTTCTGAGGCTTGCGGGCACACCGTAATGTAACATGTAGATTCTTAGGGATACAACTGGGCTTACATAGATGGGATTTTGTATATGCTATCTATGTGAGTGTATATGAATATGTATATGTATATATATATATATACACATGTATATGTGTATGTAGGTACCGTACATAATTATACACTCACATGTTGTTGTTATTCTCTTTAGTTGCATAAATAAATAAATAAATATATATATATGTATGTGTGTGGAGAGTTATGTGTGTATACATTACATGTATATTTTTATTTTTGTTTATTTGTTTAGAGACATGTGTGCATATGGGGCCTACAAGAATTCATTGTGCTTTCTGTCTTCGCGGGGGTTTGGGGCAAGGGCCTCTTAATCCTGCTGCATCCTACCTTTGTCCTTCTTGGAGCGACCTTGCTGTGATGACTCCCCGCCCATTCTTGCATTCCGTACAGCTGTTGAGGCTCTCGGTCGGGATCGCCCGGGTGAGGGTCTGCACAAACTAAAGTGAAAATCCTTGCTTTAGAACAACGCCGCTAGTCATGAGTCCTATCACCAGCAGCAGGAAACTTTTTGTAGCAAGGATAGCGTACTGGCACCGGCAGCAAAGAATCGTGACAACAACAGAGATGGCGTCAATAACACACCGCTTGTGGAGTGGTACAGCTCAGGCCGGACGTTTTGGGCAGGCATCCATATCTTCATCTTCATGTCTCTAGGAGCTCTGCAATAACTGTTGCTGGACCGCCGCCTGCAAATGATTAGAATCCGAACCTTTGGAGCCGGAAGCTGCCTCTCTAAGCTTATAGGAGCCCTTATAGTTCCAGTGTCATGGATCACCCTAAACTAAACCCTAAACTTGCTCTAAACTTCCAGGATTCTAGGAGCCCTTATAGCAAAAAACCCTAAATTTTGCTCTAAACTCTAAACTTCTAGGATTCCGGGAGCCCTTATAGCAAAAAAGCGGGTCATGGACCTGGACCTGGCCCCATCCTCGGCGCTTGCGGCCGACACGGAGAAGGATTCCCGAGGCGAAGGCCGACTGAAACTTGGGGTCTATGTTGGGAGTTTCCGAAAATAAGGGGACCTTATTTTGGACTCCTTGTAATAAGGATCCTGCTATTTAGGGTGCTGTATTAGGGTCCCTTATTTTCGGAAGCCCGCCATGTTGGCTTTCAAGATCGTCCGAGAGCCAGGTTTCTAAGAGTATCAGAAGCATACTGATCATGTTGCTAAGGTTGTTTCAGTAGCTGTGGCTGCAACAGCAACAGTAACGGCAGCAACAAAAACAAGTAGCAACAATAAGAGTAGTGAGAACATTCACAATTCTAGCCTAGCTGCGAAAATTAACTTGTTTAGAGTCTTTGCCGACCAAGCTTGCTCAGTGACGGGCCCAGCATGAGGCCCGCATCCGAAGTCGGTTTACGTAGCGACCTCGCGCTTGTATGGGCGATGGGTGTAAACGAAGCTGAGAGGTTTGTGATGTGGGTCTGCCGCTCGAGGCGGTGTACTAACAACTTGGGGTGTCAGGGGACGGCAGTGTTTCTGTTCGGGGAAATGGGGCTAGGAATATGAACCGCAAGCACTTCGCCCTATGCCATCCGCAAGGCGCCAGCGAATCTCCATGCGACGGTGGAGAGACGGCCGAAGAGTGTCCAGGCCGGCGAGGAGTACTATGCTGGTACGAGGTTAATATCATATTTTTATCGTGTCTCTCTTTCTCTCTTCCTTTCCTCCTCGAAGGGTTCCGGGTTTGTTTTGGCTTCTCTGCGACCCTCAAGCATCTGTGTGCGAATCTAGTGGGCATATCGACTGCTGGGTGCATTGTGTTTTCTGAGATTTCGCCCAAGGACAGCAAGCAAGAGAGAGAGAGAGAGAGAGAGAGAGAGAGATAGGACCCTTGCCAAGCGTGATCTTTTGTCTGAGCTTGGGGAAGTTGTGTCTTTAGGGGACCAGCACTGACCTGATTCCTGGAGAGTGGAGCTTGACCAGGAAGCCATTGCCTTGAAAGCAGAGTGGATGACCCAGGTGGAGCATATCGGGGGTGTATATCGGTTATGGTCTTAGCAAGGGTGTTTTCAGGGGGTGCTTATTGCATGCTCACCTGGAGGGAACACTCGAAGACAGACAAGCGCGCCGTTGTGGGGTTGGCCCACGGGCCGGGGGACACTGACCCCAAACCCCCAGCAAGCGAGCAAGAGAGAGAGAGAGAG